CCTCTCCTCCCCAGCCCGACTGCTCGTGCGGCTGCACAGAAAATCAGCCATCCTCGTCCATCTATCGACGTGTTCAGGTGACCTCTTCCCTTCCGCTTTAAACGGAACAGAGGTTTCCCTACCGCGAGCAGATTTCTCTTCCACGTATCAAGCACATGTGGTTTGTATGTTGACCGGGCAAAGAGTGGCTTGCTCTGTGCCCTTGCGTAAAAGAAAGGTAGAGGGAAGCGTATTATCCAAATATAAATGACTTATCAAGCTTATTGTCCAAATAGAATGAAGCTTATTATCCACATATAAATGCCCCATACAGGTTGCTGCTGGTTGCTGGGTCTTTCCAAAAAGAATGGCGTGTCCTTTTAAAGAAACACTGTGACTTGGTGGGGGCTGGATGGTGTGCAACTGTACTCTGCAAGAATATGCTACGAAGAAATCCCCAAAATAAATAAATGCTACTGTGATGTTCGTGTCCCTGTTCTGCAACAGCTATGCTGAATGTGAGCTGTATGCCCTGGGGTATGTATGCCCTGGATCGGGCAGGATCTCTCAAGCTGGCATTGGGTTTTAAGCAGTAGCTCAGAAGAAGATAATTATTTAAAAGCGCATTCCTTCATGCTGCTGGTAGTAGTGTTTTTTTTTTTTTTCCCCTGAAAGTATTGGAGCGTTTCCTTTGGATATTCATGTTCTGCACTGACTACTTGGAGAAACAAAAAAGAAATTTTTTTTTTCAAGAGGATCTTAAGATATGTATAAAGAAAGAGACCCCTTTTCTTCCTGAAAATTGTATCTCCTTGTGTAGATGTGGACCTGGAACAGTTATAAAATTCTGTGGTTAGACAATGACGAAGAAAAGCCTGAACGTAAGAAACCGCCGTGGATCCTGTTTCTGCTGAAGTCAGTGGGAATTTGACCAGGATCTTGGACAGCAGGACGCTCTGTTACTGAAGACCTATTTCCTGATGCGCTGAGAATGCCCAAGGTTTTCTCCCTGCAAAACAAGTCATTAATCCAGAACAGTATGGGGGCCAGAGCACCCACGGACAGGGAAGGCTGCTCTTCCCTGTGGTGTGAGAGGCCTGTTGGAATAGTTCAACACGTGCTTTGTGTTGTGCACAGTGGAAGCGGAGCCCCAGCCGTGGAAACACACGGCCCCTCGCTCCTTCCCGTGTTCCCGCAACTCCAGCTCGCTCTGGGGAAGCCAAGGAGGGTCAAGCGAACTTCTGGTCCTGAACTCACGCCCTATAGGGCTTTTTCCCCTGTTTTAGGAGGATTCCAATAACAGGTAACTGCCGTTTCATTCAGATTGCAGCCAAGCTAAGGCAGAAACAACAACAACAACAAAAATGCTAAAATATCCATCCCCATCCCCAATAACAAGCACCAAACCTTATAAACTGAGTCCTTTCAATGAAAAATATTTAATCCACATTTTTTTTTTTTAATCGCTAGACGATAATGTTCCAGCAAACATCCTGTCAACTCCCTAATGAAGTCTGGTTATTACCCTTAGTTTTCCTATAGCGCAGAAGCCGCTTTGGTGGCTGGGGCCGTTCGCCCGGCGGCGCCTCAGCGACCTCCCTCATGGCGCCTCACGCGGGCCGCAGCGTGGTGTGCGCGACCGGGCGCTCGTCCCATGCTCGGGGTCTTCTCCACAAACCCTGTTGTTGGGACACAGCTCCGTAGTGCTGTGACATCCCTAAAGAGCCGTTCCCGTTTGACCGACGCGTAACGCAAACGTTCTTGTGGCCTTGGCACTGACGCGCCCCAAAGTGTCGCGTTGTACATTTGGCGTTGGCCGTTTACGGGAGCTGTTTGTTGTTAACTACTGAAGGAACGTGCAGCACGTGCTTGATGCCGATTGCAAATAAAAATAAATTACGCCGGGATTTAAAAATAGATCTCAAATGGTACGTGTGATGTGACAAATACTTACCTAAGAAGCCCCAAATTCTAAACTTGTTTAGTTTGGAAAATACTGTTTGGTTCGGTAGGAGCGTGGCGCTGCTAAGTGGGAGGAAGACGTTGGTGCTTCGGCCGAACTCCAAGGCGAGATGCAGAGTCAGAGGGAGCACTGCAGCTGCGGGGTTCCCTGCTGTTTCCCGTTGTGGCTGCTGGTGTGTGGGGTTTCTCAGGCCCCTTCCTTGGGCGCGAGGTGGGGCCGCGGCGTGGTGCGTCCCGGCCTGCTCCCTCCGTGGCCATGGGGCAGCCCAGGGCTCTCCTGCTCCTCTGCAGCAGCCACAGGCCGAACGTGCGGGGAGCTGGAGGCAACGCACGTGTTTTCTTTGGATGGTATCGGCGGTTTCCTACATACTGATGTCGGAAAATGCAGCTTTGAGTGAAAAGGGCGCTCAAATAAGGAATTCAGCTGCAGGGTCTGCCTTGTGAGCCAGTTGCTAATGAGCCTGCCCCTTCTGCACGCCAGGTAGAGGTCAGTGGTGCATGTGCCTTCCGTATAGCTCAACAGGATGGCTCCAAATCCCACGTCTGCCTGAACCGGTGCTTGGGCTTGTCGTGCGCAGGGCACTGCAGGCTCTTGTGCGTGGTTTGGGTCGCGGTGCTCGTCACCGAATCGCGCTGCAGGCCTGTTTTAAAGGACACCTAAACACATACGTAGGTGGAAGCTGGCTATTTTTATGCACTGTTCTCCAGGTCATGGCGAAGGCGTTCTTGCCACGACTGGCTCGTAAGGCTTCCGTGGATTCCAATATTTTGATTGAGTTTCTGAGCTTTAGCTTATTGCCAAACATTGTGGCCAAAATGTGTATCGTACTGTAGCACCTTAAGGTGTGTGCATCACCCTGCACCGTGCTGCCTCCTTGCCTTTTTCCTTAAGCTACTCTTAAACATAGTGTTTGGTGTTTGCAAGGTGCTTTAAATAACTGATTCTGCTGTTAAACTTACTGTAAAACACACCTTAGACAATTAGATTATTGTTGGCTTTTCCTGAGAGAGCTTTAACATTGAAGTCTCCTTTCAGCTATTACCTCAATTCTGCAGCTAAATTATCCCTCAAGCTCGCCAAATTTTCCTTAGTTGTTACAGTAAGGATTAGGATGGGACTCCAGCAAAGTGATGGTTGTCCACATTTGGATTGCAGAGAGTTCCTGAGTCATATTCTCGTGATCAAATAGTTAAGGGGTGTTTTGCAAGGGTAAGGTATTGTAAAAAGCTTAAAAAATTCAGCGTTTGATGAAATTGTCTGGACATACTGTTCTATTTTATCAGCTATGTTTGCCGTATTTTCTAGCCTGTAGGTTGCTATTAATAATTGACCATAGCATGATGCAACTTGTTGTGGGGGGAAAAAAAAAATCTGAAAACAAACCTTTGACCTTAAAATCGAAGTTCCCCAGTATATTGACCAAGGGGCATTTGTAGGCACCTCTCCGCTGCAGCTTTGGCTGCGGAGAGGCCGTCTTGGTGACGCTCCGGTCGGGCTCTGCGGATTCCAGGCAGTGACGCGCGCGGGGCCAGGGCTTGTGTGCAGCTTCATGATGGCAGATGAGGTGTACTAGTTAGAACTTTGATTCTAGGTTGCTATTGACCATATTAGGAGTTCTATGTTTGCCTTTTTTTTTTTTTTGGCTAAAAGCTCTATTTTTAATAAGTTCCAGATTCTTAATAAGTTCCAGAGTTTCTTTTTTCTTTCTTTCTTTCTTTCATTTTTTTTTCTTTCCAGTCTTCAAAACTTATTTGAGCTTTAGTGACAGTATGGGAAGTAAATAGGTCACTGAAGAATCGTAGTTTGAAGGGTTTGTCTTACTAGGATGCAATAATGGAAGTAATATCTCTAAAATGATTTTGTGGAGGTTTAAAATACTTTGTGTGTGTGTGATTCATAGAGGGGAGCTTTTAAAGGAGAACAGAAGTCTGTTTCTCTACAGAAATCTTCATGCAGTGTTCAAAAGAAATGCTCTGTTGTTTGTTTAGCAGAGTTGACTCAGCTTTTGTTGGTTACCATAGTTCATCGCTGCCTTTGGATTTCCGTGCGAATTTCTAGTAATTCCCAGGCTTGCTTCAGGTTGAGGAACTTGCTAATATTGCTTCCATTAGCTGCCCACGGGGTGCACTTTTCTTTCTTGAATTTTGAAAAATATCAAACGTGACTCAAGCCTTGCTCGGATGTGCCGTAAACGTCAACCATTGCTCAAAAATCAAGCGGGGTTTAGTAATGCAGTGGCTGTGAGCACAAACGAGCTAAAAAGATTCAGCTGCTTAAAAATAGCCTTCTGATGAATAGCTGCTGCAGCAATTTAACACTGCTGATATAAATTAAAAGCTGTTCAAAGATGCTTTAAAAATGAGAAAAGGTATTCAGAATTAAATATGCTGCAGGGATACAGAGAGCACGGGAGCCCTTCAGCTGAATGAGCTGAAGGGTAGCGATGTGTGTTCATTTTGTTAAATATAAGACTCAATTACTTTGCTTGATCCTCGTCCTCGGTTTAAGCCCAACTTCTGCCTTTGGGCGCTCTGATTCCTTAGACCCAGAATCTCTATTTGCTGGTTGGATTGATGTTGTCTGATTGAACACTCTTAGACACTAAAATTGCAAATAAATCCGTTCCCCCATAACTTGGCCTGGTTATGGCAAATCCAGGTATGGAGGCACTCTAGGAGAGCACCAAGGTGTTGATGAAAGTTTTGGGAAAGTTGAGTTCGCTCACACTTGAACTTACACTTATTTTTTTTTTTACAAAACGTTACAAAACTGTTATTTTATGCTGTTTCCTATGTGATGTATATTGAGGCAGCAGGCATTTTTGAATGTCAGAAATTGAGTCTTTGGATTTGTGAGGCTACCTTAGTAGGCTTTAGAATTTCCACTGGACAATTATTTTTTAAAAATGTCATTTGATAGGTTTTTTTTTTTGTATGTGTATGTGTGATCTTACATAATATTACTGGGTAACACCTGTGAATAATGAGAGCAATGTAGCAATCTAAAAAGCTAACTTTCATTTTTTTTTCTCTCTTTTTTTTTTTTCCTTTCTGTGCAGGACAAAATGGCCAAGATGGAGGCCAAGACATCGCTTTTGGACAACATGATAGGGGTGGGAGATATGGTTCTTCTGGAGCCACTTGATGAAGATTCATTCATCAACAACCTGAAAAAACGCTTTGATCACAACGAAGTATATGTGAGTATACATTAAACAAATACATTCTGCGAGGAATTGTGTCATCGTTTTTAAAATACGTGTATCTAAAGACACACATAGGCCGTATACCTGAACAAAACTGGAAGCATTTTAAACCTTATTTGTCCTGTAGTCCTCCCCATAGCATACTGCTTGTTTCTGACCCCTTCCATCTGGGGCATTTTTCCCTCCTGTTTTCCTCCGTCGCACAGCTTTGGACGTGGTGGATCCCAGGTTTTCATCAGGAGCAGGCGCAGAGCAGGCGGTGACAGTAGTTGCCATACTTGTGTTGTCAGACGAGGATGCAGTTGCAAACAGGCTGTTCCCAGAGAAGGGTTTGGGAGGTCTTGGCGGAGGCTGATGTATGAGCTGGGTATGCTTGGAATGTTATCTGCTAGGGCTAGCTCAGATGTGCTCTCTCACCTTTGATTTGCAAATAAGGGGTGCTCTCTGGTATGGCTTGATCCGAAGCTGATAATGGGAGCATTCAAAGCCTTCAGTTCTGTTGGTGAAAGACATTCTTTCCAAGTAAAGCTGAAAACATTCATGGTTTCGTTATATTTCATACCTCTGATGCCCCTTGTCTTGCAGAATCATATTCCTTTTCTGTAGCCGTTATCATGGCCACATGCAGTTTTGCTTAGTCTGTTCCTCCTGCGATCTCTTGGACACTGGAAAGGAAGCTGTATGCCTGCGGGTCTGAGAGGATGTTACTGCCTTGTCTAATGCTGGAGTTACATTTAAAAGTTTTATTTAAAGCATTAAAGATACCCACCTGCCCTGTGAGGGTAACCTGGATTTTGCAGCCTCTTTGAAAGGATCCCTAGGAACCATCTGAGAGTAGGGAATTTTCATGAATGCTTATGTAAACTACTATAGATTGCAAAATATTTAATTACATATCTCCACTTCTATTTCACTCTTTCTCGAAAGCAGTCGCTCTGAGTGACAAAGGAATCTCCCCTTCCATGTTTATCACTGTGGCGTGCTGCTGACAGCCGCGTTCGAACGCAGCTCTTGGCGCGGTGACACCGGAGCGCGCGGTGCTGCTGCTGGCACCGGGGCGCCGTGTAATGAGGTGCCTTACGTGCCCTGGCAGGTGACGGAGGGTGTCACTTTTCTCCAGCTGCCGCGGATGCTGTGCCTTGCGGGTGGGAAAGCTGGGCGCTCAGACACGCTCTGCTGAGCAGCCTGGTGCGCTGCCAACAACAGGGTTCTTTTTGTTTTGGATAGTCGTCTTTATCCTTTTCTTTAGCTGAATCATTCCCTTTTAGCTTGCTGCAGTATCACTTACTCTTTTTATCTCCAGCTTGTTGAACAAGTGGCTTTTTCCTTTTTTCCCTTTTATTACTTAGGTGTAAGTGTTTGAGTCCACGCTGTAAAGGGAGGAGCACTTGCATGCAGCTCATCAGCAGTGCAAAGGGGGACTGTGCAAGTCCGAGCCACGCGCAGTCATGAAGCAGGCTCCTTGGTTTGACTTGCTTTGTGGGTTCATCTACCCATGAATTGTTCTAGGACTGTCGTCTTGGTTCTGTATCAGTAGCTGCTGCAAGTTTTATGCCACTGTTACAGCTTTGGAAATTTTCTGTTTTCTAGACTAAGTAACAATTAGAAAGCTGCTCATTGCCACGTGTGGGTTTGCAAGTGCAAACTGTTCTCTCCTTATCTCTCCCCATTCTCCTTCTCCCAGACCTCAGGAAAAATACGTTTTGCGCTCTTGTTTTTAGACCCAGATGAGCACTATGAAGCCTTTGTTCCATCTGGGAGTCGTGTTTGTTTTGCCATATAAAATCTCCAGTTTGCATATTATGGCGAAACCAAAATGAGACTATTGAAGAGCTATGTTGGAGCTTTACAGAGACTGGATTTCTTTTAGCTCTAGCAAGCAACA